GTGCCGCCTTCTTCGCTGCTGGCCTCTTCACAGCCTTCTTGGCAGCAACCTTCTTGGCTGCAGGCTTCTTGGCTGCCTTCTTAGCCGCTGGCCTCTTAGCTGCCTTTTTGGCAACAGCTTTCTTGGCAGCTGCCTTCTTGGGGGAGGCTCTCTTGGGGGAGGCCTTCTTGGCAGGGGCAGCAAGAGCAGCGGCGGCGGCGTCAGACATTACTTTCTTGTTGAGTGGTTTGCTTAGTTTTGTGCTTCTTTTTGTAGAAAAGGAAATAAGTAAAGAAATTAAGCGTACAAAAAATTTTTGACCATTATTATTATTATTTTTTTATTATTACTACTATTGTATATACACTTAATATTTATACTGAAATGTCAAGTGTCAAAAGAGATGCTGCTTAAAGGATTGTTTAAGTAGTCAACAGATGCTTTTTTTTCACTTATGCTTTCCAGCATTGACTGTGACAGGGGATGGAATAGATTTTTAGAACCTGTCAATATAATCTTCATTCCTTCGTATTGTTCTATTCATCAGCATCATAAGTTTCAATGATTTCATGTGATGGCCAAATACGAGCCATTCCGTCCTCAGCTCCGGATGTGAAAGATTTTCCATCTGGTGCCCACCTTATGTGGAAAATAGGCCCATGGTGTCCTCTGTGAGACTCTAATTCTGTACCATCCAGTGTAAATTCCTTAGCCTTTAATCTGGAGCCTGCCGCCACATTTTGTCCATTGGGGGAAAGCGATGCACATTCAACATCCTCAGTGGTAGTAAAAGAACTCTTGATGTCCAATGTGGTAGTATCGATAAAAGATATACTCTTCTCATGGGCAGCTACGATGCTGTTGCGATGTGTATATTCGAGAAAATTAAGTCCTGGAATTTCTTTTCGTAAGTATGGTCGTGATGTATCACGGAGGTCCCATTTCATTATAACATTTTCACACGCTGTCACCATTGTTGTAGGATCAATAAAGTATGTTGCTTTAACTTGATTTGCTCTTTCTGGGCTGTCAAAGCTAAGGGGCTCTGCATCGTATGCAGTAGCGTCAAAAATGCGAACCAAGCCGTCAAAGCAACCGGTTGCAATTTTATTTTCAATCCAATCACATGATTTGATGTACTTGGGATGGCTCCATGTATGTAATTTCTCTCCAGTGATAGCATTCCACAACATAGAAGAGTAATCACCACTACCTGTTACCAAGCGTGTGGCGCCTTGGTTGAAGGCAGAACAGTATACTGCACCCTTATGGCCTTCAAATGTACCAACCCAATCACCTGTCTCACCATTCCGCAACATAGGCTTTGCATCATGACAGGAAGTGACAAGCCAAAACGTTCCATCAATGATTTCACTGTAATTTATATGACAAATTGGTCTTGTATGTCCAGAGCATATTTTAACCTTTGTTATATCAGCGTTGGGGTTGGTATTTGATGTGCCCTCTTTTTTTTGAGTTCCAGCACTCTTTTCAGGAACAGCGTGCTTACCGCTCATTTTGCTTCCTTCCTAGTTTCCTCGCCTTAGAAACTTCTTTATACTTTTTTTTGTCGCTGTTTCTTCTGCTTTATTTTTTTTTTCCTTTTCTTGGATAAAGGAGTAGAAAAAGTAAAAAAAAAAAAAAAGAGATCTTCTTTTCTTGGTAACAGAACATTAAAAAAAAATAATAACAATAATAATAATAATAATAACTTTAATGCTGATTTCTTGTTACTTGTACCTCGGATCAGAAATAAAATTGGGAACGACAAAAAAAAAAAAACGATCAGCGTTATGTTTTCATTTCATTTCCTTTTCTTTTCTTCACCTCTATCATTAAATAATAATAATAATAAATCCTTATGCTGATTTTACGAACAGAACATGTATGGCTATTACAAAGCCACAAAATAAGGTCTGTTCATTTCCCACAGAATAGCTAATTAAATCTTGCTTTATTCTGTGCAAGTATTTCCAAATAACAAGCGTGAGTATCTTTACTGAGTCCTCTTACGAGGAACAGCACGAAGAACGTCGTCAACACGAAGAATCATTTCCGCCGCTTCTGCAGCATAGCCCAAGACAGAGTTCTTTACCTTAAACGACTCTGTGATACCCAGAGTCTTTACATCAGCCACATCACCCTTAATGACGTCAATACCGTAGGTTTTATGACCCTGGTAATGCTCAGCCTGTAATCGCGTAACGAGATCATTACTATCCAGACCTGCATTATCAGCAATAATTGCTGGTATCGTTCGAAGTGAGTTAGCGAAAGCCATCATTGCCAATTGCTTTTTCCCAGGAGTAGTTTTAGCCTTTTCTTCAACAGCACGAGCCATAAGAAACTCGGAGCAACCTGCACCTAATACAGTCCGTGTTTCGTTGACGGTTTGGGCAATAACACAAATGGCATCATGAATAGATCGCTCAGCTTCATCCAAAATATGTTGTGATGTACCACGAACAACAATTGTGCAAGCCTCACCCTTTGGAAGTCCAGAAAATCGGATAACTGTATTTTCACCAATCATAACTTCATCAATCTTCTGTGCAAAACCGTACTTGACATCAGCAGTTTCATCAAATTGTGATACCACATCAGCTCCAAGAGCTTTAGCGAGACGTTCAATTCCTTCAAAATCGGCATGTTCGATTGCCATAATACCATGTTGAGCGAAAATTTCCTCAGGATAGTTGTAAATTAGCTGACGATTAATAAAACAATTAATATCATGCTTAATAATTTTCATGCATTTGTTTTTCATTTTCTCCTTTTCTGAGGCTTCAACTTCAGCAAGCTGCGCTACACTATCAACGCGAACCTTGGCTCCAAAAATTTTAATTTTGTCGGTGTCCATTGGAGTATTGGCGACCAAAATTTTAGCATTTTCAAGATGACGAGGTTGTCCAACACCAATTTTCTTATCGAGTAAAAATCCTGGTTCAAGATAGCTGTCTCGAAGTGTTCCTCCAAGTTTTTTCATGATATTAATCATTTCAAGATTACCACTTCCATTTAGGCGTAGTACAGCATCCACACAAAGTTTGGCAAAATGATCCTTCTCAACAGTAATAATCTTAGAGCTTAGGGTAGTCTTGGCAATGCGGAGCAAATCATCGTAAAACATTTTTTCATCATTACCATGATCTTCTGCAGATTCAATAAGGGCTTCGCGAGCAACCTGTGTAGCAAGACGGTAACCTTCAATAATAGTCTGTGGATGAATAGACTGATCAAGTAATTTTTCAGCATTTCGAAGAAGTTCACCAGCAAGCACGGTAACACTTGTAGTTCCATCACCAACTTCATCATCCTGAGTTTTACTCATATCAATAAGAATTTTTGCGGCAGGGTTATCCATAAAAAGAGATTTGAGAATTGTGGCACCATCATTCGTTACCCGCACACTCTGGGCACGGTCCATTCCTTGAAGAATTTTATCCATACCTTTAGGGCCTAGCGTGGTCTTCACGATGTCAGCCACAGAAACAGCCCCCATGATGTTCATGAGCCGGGCACGCTCTCCCTTTTCTTCTGAGGCTCCATCACGAAGAACCTGCTGAGCTTGATTGGCAAAAAGCATAATATTCTTTCTTTGTTAATCTTCAGGCAAAAGAAATAAAAAATAAAAAAAAAAAAAACAACAATTCAAAATGAGGGGAAAAATTTCATTTGGATTTCACACACAATTGTAACAACTAAGCAAATGGGGAAAAGGAAAAAAAAAAAAAAAAAACACCTTAATCTTTCTCCCTCCACCCCCACAACATAGTATAATAGTTCTCTTTATGTCTTTATTTTACTTGTTGTGGAGTACCGAAAGAAAACATTTCGAGAAAAGAGTAGACATACTTTTTTCTTTGGTTTGATAAAGCAACATCGGCAAAAGAAAAATATAAAACATCTTTTTTTTTTTCTTAAAAAATTGCAGCAATACTTTGTAGGCTATGGCGTCATTTATTATTTTTTTGTTGTTATTATTATATAATTTTTTATTCATATTACTCTATATGTACAAAAACTCTTATACGATGTGCTCCTGTTTCCGCAGATAAAATATTTCTTAAACATTGTTTAACTAAACGACGTACAGTTTGGTGACTCACTCCACTTTGCGCGGATACTCTTACTGCACAACATGTCAGCTCCCTGGGAGCGGTTGAGTGAGTCCACGCACATAAACTTCCCACTGTATTAACACCAGGAATTTTTTTGATACTACGCACAGTATTATTAAAAAATTTCTCTTGATCATATGGTTCACCAGAAAGAAGAAGAACCTTACCAGTTTCTTGCAACAATGGAAATGCTGAAATGGCAATAAACGCTGAGCTCAAGACACTACATAATGGGTCAGCAATTCTTAAACCAGTAACTGCTATAAGAATACTAGATATCATAACACTAACACTTCCCAAAAGATCTGCTAATATATGAAGGTAAACTCCTCTTAAGTTATGATCAACAGGGTGACTACATCCTCCGTGGGAGTGAGAATGACCATGAGCTTCATGGAAAAACACAACACCCACGATATTTACAAGCAATCCTATAACAGAAACATGTATCAAATAAGGTGCATCAATCTCAGGAGGACAAAAAAGACGTTCTACAGATTCCAAAACAACATATAATGCAACAAAAAGTAATAAAACTGCATTAATAAATCCTCCTAAAACCTCATAACGAGCATATCCGAAAGGATGTGTCTTTTTTTCACATGGTAATGAAGAAGCAAATGCAGCAAATAAACCAATGGCGATAGAAGCCGAATCAAGCATCATATGAAAAGCATCAGAAATTAAACCCAAAGAATTTGCTACAATTCCATAAATCAATTCAAGAAGCATTACACCCATAGTAAGAAGAAGGTAAATTAACAATTTTCTTTCACGCTCATTTAGAGTTAAATATTTAATAGCATTAACAATAAAACCAGAGCTTTTCTTTCGTGTTTGTGCAAAAGGAACTGATGTTTCCATTGAAGGTAAAAGAAATTCTGATTTTAAAGATTTAAAAGAAGCAATTAAAATAATAACACCACTAATAAGAGCAAAAAAATCTCCACCTTCAATTTCCCGATATCTAATATTCAAAATACCAGTAAAAATGTAGAAAATCAAAATACCAATCATACTTGCGGGTATCACAGTTTCCCTAAATCTTGAATCATAAAGAGATTTCCCACAACCAGATAATAAAGAAATAACTGGGAAAATTATCCAAGGATAAGGGGAAGTCAACGTATTCTTATTTGAAGTACCAAGCCAGCTACAAAAAGCCAGTTCTATAGATGCAACAACTCTCTCAAAAATTCCAAGCCAAGAATTATGTACATTAGAATAAACTGATTCGCTTATATTAATTGCAAGTGTTGATAAAGAAAGAGATAGAATATTAAAAACCAGTACATAAAAATTTACACTGATTTCATGTAAAGAACTCCAAAATATCAAAAGGATACTACATATAATCAGTAGAGCAAAAAATGCTTGACGCTTTAAAATTCCATCTCGTATATACGACATTTCAAGTGTGAATGCAGAACAAAGCAATATACAACGCATTGATCCAATTTCTTTTACAGTATATAAAAGAGCACTATAAAAAAAAGCCCTTAAAGTACCCCTTAAAATTATTCCATATAAATAGAAGAATTTCCATTGGTAAGCATCCTTTACGGTTTCACGAAGACGAAAAAGAAGAGCTAGTGCCTCACCCAATACGACGAAACATCCCACCCACAGAGTATGTACTGGAGTATTTGAAAGAACAAATCCAATACTCATTAATGACATCGCCCATACTATACCAAGAAAAACAGAAATAACAGCTATCTTCATTTTATTTATTTGAATTCTTTTTTCTTTCCAGGATATTCTACTGTTATACTTTAGAGCAAATCCCCTCCAAAAAAAAAAAGACACTTAAAAAGATGTATCAAAAAAAAAAAAGAATGAAAAATGAAAAACGGTGACAGGAGCAGTAGCAACAAAAAAAGATGTATCAAAAAAAAAGAAAAACAGAGGGAAAAATAAACCCGAATTACACAGCCGTACGACTTCTGAACCCATTTGCAAGTCACGTTTTTACTAAATTCGTTCTGCCTTTTCTCTTTCTCTTTTCGAGGAGCCGTCTCAGAATACGTTTCCAAGAAAGAAGCATTTCTCTTTTGCGAGGCGGTGGGAAATTAAAAAAAAAAAAAGAAAGAAAACCACCGCTAAGCTAAATGAGAATGTCGTTTTGATCCGCGTTTCTTTTTTATTACTATTGTTTTCGGTTTTGTTTGCATTGTTCCTCGCGCCTTTCAGTTTCCCACCCACTGGGGCCAAAGCCCGCCGCAAGTGTTCTGTCAGCGACTCTACTCCTCCAAAATTACCCACGAAGAGAAAACAGGATCAAAGAAAAAAGAACCCGCGGAAAGCCGCCTGAAGCGGACCGGTCTCACCATTTTGCGTTTTTTCCAGAGGGGGCAAACCAAAAAAACCGTTGCCGGGGATTGGCGGACGATTGGTTTTTTTTTTTATTATTGTCCGTTTCCCTTCCCTTCTTGCGCCGGCGGTGCGCCGCGTTCTTCTCTCGTGGCCGCTTGCCGCCGCACCTTCGTGGATGAAAGCGGTCGCGGGGACGCAACCCGCAGAAAATAAAAAATAAAAGGGGGTCGGCGCGTGGGAAACTATATTTTCCCCCGGTTGTTTTTTTTTTTTGTGTTGGGTGCCGTCGACCTCTTGAGCTCCCTTGTCTCCCGGATGATTTCGGTTTCCCGGTAAAGTCTAGTATTTTCACCGGGTTGATGCTGTGGCGGGGCAAACCCTCGTGACGGGAAGAGTTGTTGTTTTTTTTTTTTTTTTTTTTTTTGGCTGTTTTTACTTTTGAAAGGTTTTTGTTTTCTTTGTGGTTGACCGTGTGTGCGGTCGATGGGGTCCGATTCAGAATTATACAAAGCCAAGAAAAGGTTTGGGTGTTTTTTTTTTTTTTTTTCTTTTCTTTTGCTGTACTTACTTGTTTCATTAGACTTTGGTTTTTCCTCCTTGTTCACCTAGCAGAGAAAAAAAAAAAAACGTATTTCTTTCCTAATGGAATGTATTCTTCTTTATTTTTTATTATTATTTGTGAACCTATAAAAGGAATGGCTAGGCATTTCGTCTGCCTGGTAAAAGTGTATTTTCTGCTCAATAAACATTATCCCTACATTGTTTATTGTAAAGTTTGTTTTTCAGAAACTGATTTAACTCGTTTCACTCACCCTTGCTCGAAGGGAGGGAGTGTATAATAAGAGTTTCATTATTTGTTTTTCATATGTACTATCTTGATAGTACATAATGGAAAGTTCCCTTGAAATCTGTATGGTGAATTGTTATAGATGTGTGAATAAAGAGAATTTCGGAGAGGGAAAAAATGGTGTTATTTTGTTTCTATTTCTTTCCATTCTTTTATAGAAAAGTAAGGTAAAGGCTATTACCGTGTACAATATGGTACCCAGAATTTTTTTTTTCTTTTCCAGTATAAATATATCTAGACATTATATACGTTTTTATGTTTTTGTATATTAAATTCTTTTTACTTATCTTCCGGTGATTAGCTCTTTCTTTTATATTATTGGATTGTTTTTCTTTCTTTTTTTTGTTCTTTTTTTCTTTATCCGTAGTGATTTAGAAGAAAATGTCAATTTTTGAGTTAGATTGGGAGTGTCCTTATAGTGAATTTTTGAAAAGAATACATAATGAGGCGCTGTGTTTAAATATTCGTGAGGCTCGTCCCGAAAAACACTATGAAGTTTGTGATAAAGTTTACAAAGAAGCAGTTGAGAATCAAAAGAAAGGTAGGTATGATGTTGCATTTTACTATTTTTTGCGATGTATAGAAATTTTTGAAAGAACGGAATTGCGAAAGAAATTACCTGCTTCAAAATCACTACTTATGAAATGTGTAGACGCTGCAAATAATCTCCGTACAAACGAGCTTTTGGACTTTTATAATAAGCAAATACAACTTGTTAAGGAACAGCAAGAAGAAAGACAAAAAATTATAGAGTTGCAACATCTTCACGATGAGGATGACAACGAAACTGAAGAACAACTGCATCTGAAGCGTCAACAAAATCTTTTGATGAGTGAAAAAAATGTGGTAGATATTACCAAGAAAAAGTTGAATGAAACTCATATACCTATACCTCAGCCTTTATTGCAACAAAATAACGTAGAACCTTATTGGAAAGGACCGCATAGTACTGTTGGACTGTTGCCTGGAAATCATATTGAACCTCTTAGAAAGATTATAAATCCATCACCTAACGCGTATGGTATGTGGGTTTTTAATACAGGTGGTTCTCGAATGTCTTATACAAGAAGAGGAATGGTTAATCTTGGAAACACCTGTTATCTTAATAGTGTTACTCAGATGCTTTTTGCCACCCCTTTGGGTGCTTACTTCCTTGGTGATGAATATACCAAGTTTATAGTTGAAGATGAAAAGGGTAGAGGGAGATTAGTAAACTCTTTGAGTCATGTTATGCGTGAATTAAACCGAGTTGATACCGATATTCCTGTTAGCACTTCACATTTTAAGCGTGCTATTGGTGAGGTTTGTGAAACATTTATGAATTTCTCACAACAAGATGCTAACGAATTTCTTCATGTTTTACTTGATGGCATTCATAAAAATCTAAATGAGAAATCGCATGTAAAAGGAAATCTTCCAGAAATTGATACCACAAAAGGAAGCGATTTAGATATAGCAAAGGCGTATTGGTCTCAATACACTAGCCAAAACAAGTCAGTAATTGTGAAAATGTGTATTTTTCAAGAGAGAAACACCCTAGTTTGTCCTTTGTGTCATCATGTTAGCAGATCATTTTCTCCTTCATTAGGAATAGAGGTTCCTATACCCTCTCTTTCAGGAGAAATAAGTATTGAAGATTGCTTAACGGCATATTGTAAAGAAGAAGTTCTTGACTCGGATTCCTTGTACAATTGTCCATCATGTAAGAAAAATGTTAATGCATCGAAACAACTTCTTATTTACTCTTTACCGAAAATATTATTTATAACAATTAAGAGATTTCGCAATTTTGGTGATTTTTCAAACAAAATAATGGATTCTGTGGCCTTTCAAAAACAACTTGATGTTTCTCCTTTTTGTTGTTCTGATGAGAAAAATACTTTGTATAATTTGGTGGGTGTTGTAAATCATCAAGGAAATATTCATGGAGGGCACTATACTGCTGACTCTCTTGGAAGAGATGGATGTTGGTGTTCTTTCAGTGACGAACGGGTTACTGAGGCCCAAAATCCGAATTTCAAACTAGCTTACATACTGTGTTTTGTACAAGCTAATCGATGATGATGATGAGAGAATATATATATATTTTTTTAGCAAAATAAGGGGAATAAAAAGTACTGAAAAGTGATAATTACTTTATGTTTTTTTTTTGTTGTTTGCCAAAATAATAAAATTATATCTATATAAATATACTTGATTTTTTTTTTTTTTTTTTTGGTGGGCGGTTTCTTTTCTTCGCTTGATTTTTTTTTTTTTTTTCTTTAATGAGTGTGTAGGCGTCCACAGATAGTTTTAGCATAGATGGGGAAATCATGTTCTAAGTCGGCAAACCAAGCAGAATTGGAAAATCGACGTATTCAACGTGAAATACGACTTGGTTTGACTCCACTACCTCATCCACCTTCAGTGAGAACTTCTACGCCACGTCCAAAACCATCGTTGAATATACCTCCAAAACATGTCGATCATAGGGACCGAATAGGTAGTTCCCCTCGTCTCTCTAGAGTAAAAACACCGGTTATACAAGCACAAAGAAACTCAGGAAATGGTTTGCTAATATCCCCTTATAGATCTCGTTCAAGTGGCACAGCTGTTGGTCCTCCGTTTCCTCCACATTTTTATCCCGTTCGCCCTCCGTTATCTCCACCAAAACCAATAATGCCAAAATCTATTCATCGTCCATCTAAGATTATAAGCAAAGCAACGACAAATGTTTCAACCAAACCTCGTGAAAAAGTAAAGGATAAGAAAGAAAGTAAATCGAATTTACGTATAGCAAAACCCATAAAAAATAGTAAAGAAAAACCAAAATTGAAAATAAAACCTGTTTTGAGACAAGCTTTAAATTTACTTTGTGTTGAAGAAATACGTACCCGATCGGAAATTTTAAATGAGGCTATGCTTCGGTTTATGGATCTAGAGAGAGAATTTAGAAACCGTGTTAAACAAGAGTATATTCGTGTTGCAGCGTTTGAACTCTTTGCGTTACAAACCAAATCTAGAGATGCTGTTTTTGAGCAAGAAAAAAATGAACGAAAATTATTAGTCTTTTGGATGAATCAGACCTTTGAAGAAGATAGACTAATGGATCTTATTGAAGCAACTCAAGGGCGTCCCAAAAGTAACATGATTTCGTCACATGATGCTTTTTATAGTTCACCCAAGCGAATTGAGACCCATGATAAACCAATAAAAAATACAATGGTACCGGTAGAAGTATCACCTTCAAATAAAAAGGAAATTAATGAGCAGAATTTTATTGATGGAAATTCTTTTGATAGGGAAGTAAATTATTCACCTCCTGAACCTGTTCGAATTATTCCTTCAGTTGAGCGAGGTATTTTTAATGATAATCTTGATCGGAAGATAAGACGACAAACTCGTATGATGCGTGAGGTTGTTCCTTCATTTACACCAAAAAATGTTACAATTGCTCCTGATTTGAATTCTAATTATGTTTTGACAAACAGGGATTATAATGAAGTAAGATCGATCTCACCGAAACGAATTCCACCTCCTCCTGTACCAGATTATCATAAAGATTATGGAGAATTATCTTCCTTTAGATCCCTTTTTTCTGATCCGTTTCAGACACCTCGTAGAAAATCATTTGCGGAGTTAAAAGGGGAAAGTGATTTGGCTATGAAAAAGAGACTTACCGCCCTTTTAATGGCCTAAAATTGTACCATTTACCTTTTTTTTTTTCCATTTCTGTACTTTGTGTTTTGGTGTTTTACCTTCTTTATTTGTTATATATATATATATATTGGATGTTTTTTTTTTTTTTTTTTTGATTGTTGTACCTTTGGGAATGATACGTTAGAATGATTTGTTTCTTTATATATCTTTGTTTTTTCTTCTTTCAACTTTTGGTGGTTTGGGATTATTTTATAGGTGGGATGTTTGATGAATAAAAAGGTTACCTTATGATGAGACGTTCATGTTTTCTGTCTTGCTCTTTAAGTCTTCTAAATGTTATTTCTTCGGTGACAGCAACAGAAGAAAAATCTAAAACGTTAAGTGCAGTTGTCCAATTTCCATCTGTTCCACCTTTGTCCTTACCATTCGCACCTCCTCCAAAATGGACAGCTGAACTTTCACGAAGGTTTGCTAAACATTTTCCAGAACTTAGACGGCGACATTATATTCTTTATATGCGGTCATTTATACATCCCAGTTTTACTACACCTGAAGCAATAAATTCAACGATGAATGCAACTGTTTTATTGGGGGAATCTTTGCTTTTATTAATCGGTAGCGAATTGATTGTAAATACCTTCAAAGAGTTGAAGCGTGATGAGTTGCTTTCATTAGTTGCATTTATTCTCTCTGATGCCTCTCTTAGTTATGTTTTGCGACATTGTTGGGAGATGGAAGATATGGTCTTGACCGATGCTTCTTTGCAGTTGTTTCAAGGAAAATCATTGAGATCCACATCAGGTTTACTACAATGGCTCTCAGCTAATGGGAAACAGCAGGTTCCGGATCCTTATTGTGCAGCTGCTGTGAAATCAACGATAGGTGCTGTTTATTTGGACGAGGGTCTAGAAGCAGCAAGGAATTTTATTCACAAGAACGTTTTACAAGTTTTGGAGTAATGTGAACAGAAAAAAAAATTCTTTCAGCAGATTAATTTTTTTCTTAGAACATCTCTCGTGAGTTACGTAATTGGTTTGTAAGGTATAATAATAATAATAATAATAATAATAATTATTATTATTATTCTGTCACCACTTCTACCACTGGTTTTTTTTCATTCTTTCTTTGTTTCTATTATTTTTCACAAGGGCGATGGATTCTCCAAATGCTTCTTCTCAAGTGAGCGAAACAGAGGAAATTTTTCCTCTTGTAGCATACGAGGAAGAAGCCCCTACAAAAACAAAAAAGGAATTGATCGCAGAAGAACTTCAAAAGTTGTATGAATTTGATTTTGATGTACCAGAACGTCCAGAAGATGATGCTTCTGGAAAATTGGCTTATCTAGATTCGTGTGAACAGCTTAATAAAGAATCATTTATGAAATTTCCTACTCAGAGTATAGCGAGTAGACTTATTGAGGGGAAAGAATCTCTTGATTTGAGTTATTTTGCACTAGGAAAAAAAGGTAGCATTGCGTTAGCAGCAGCCCTTCGTGTAAATCAATCTATCAATAATATTTCATTGGTTGGATGTAATATTACACCTGCAGGAGGTATTGAAATTGCTCGATCTCTTTCTGAGACGAGAACGGTCACTACCCTAGATTTAAGCCAGAATATGCTAGGATCACGTGATGCAGGAGAAAGTATTCGAGGAGGTGCAGTTATAGCAGAACTTCTTAAACCAGGAAATGTTTTAAAATCTCTTTCATTACGTGACAATGGATTAAGTGATCATCATATTGTTGATTTTGTTGAAGCAGCTATAGATAATACCGAACTAGCTTTTCTAGATCTAAGCTTTAATAAAATTGGTTATCTTGGTGCTGTTGATTTGGCTCAAATACTTTCTCGTAATGGTGATCTACGTGAAATAAACCTTGAGTGGAACCAATTTCAAACCATTGGATGTCGTCATATTCTTGCTGAAGGATTGTTGCTTAATAATACCATTAAACGTTTCAATTTAAGTTGGGTGGGATTGGATGATTATTGTGCACAACTGGTGGGACGTATCATTGGTGAAAATGCCATTGAAGAAATAATAATTGCACACAATAGAATAGGACCTACTGGAGCAGAGTCTATTGCAAAAGGATTGTTGGCAACATCAGCACTTACAACTCTTGTTTTAGACGATAACCCTCTTCAAGATGAAGGTTGTGCGGCGCTTATCCGTGTTGTCGGGGAGGCAAGTACACTTAAACTATTGAGTTTACAAGAGTGTCGCTGTGGTATTAATATGGTTCAAGAGGCAGAAAGAGTAACTAGGGAGGTTCGACCAGATATGGTCATTCAAATATCAGGAGATTCCTATCCCCGAGAGATGATGTAGAAAAATACAAGGAAACCCTTGTCTGTTTTTTTATTCTTCTTTTTTTTTCATTTGAACAATGTACTGCGCACTTTGAATTTGAGTGTCGTTAATTTTTTTTATTTATTTATTGATGATGTTCATTGTGATTCATGTTTCTATTATTATTTTTGCTACTTGATTGATCTGTTCTTTTTTTTTTTTTTTTTCTTCATGTTTGTTTAAAAAAAAAAAAAATAGTTCGTTTATTTGTTTTATATGTCTTTCATCTTGTGACATGTATATGATTTTGCCTTCTTTTTCTTTCCTTCTGTTGTTCTCTTAGTCCTTAGGGAGGATATCTTGGAATGATCGATAATCTTGAAGCCACACTTAATCGTTTGGTGGCTTTTTCATCCACTGAGTCTTCACTGGATGCTGCAGTGGATTTACAAAATATTGCTCTTGCCCTGGAGGCAGCAGAAAAAATTCCCGTACTGACGGAAACATGTATGTCTCTTTGTGTTGATTTATTGGAAAACACACCTCTAACTACCGTCACTACTTATTCTATTTTAATGCTTTTGGCTAGGTGTTGTATGCGTGAAGAAAATAAGGAGCTAGCTTCTAGATTTGGCGTCTTTGGTTTATGTGTTCTTATTCTTCAAGACTATAAAAAATTATCAAAAGATACACTTTTTGCTAGTTTTGACTTAATTAGTACACTCGCTATGAATGACGGTAATACACGTCGAATGATGCGTCCCGCCATCCCACATGTTATTAATGTAATGAGAGATAACAAGGATTCACTAAAATTAGCATTTGGAGGTGCTGCTGTAATCAGTACATTAACAATGCTTGATGTGGCAAATGCGATATTAGCTGCAGAATGTGAATGTTTTCAACTTCTTATTAATTTCTTTCTTATGGCTTATGAAAAAAAAAAGCAACTCCTCTCTCAACATGCTTCTCGTTTATCATGGAATAGAAAAGAGGAGGAATTGCTCTTGTTGTGTGATAATGTGATATACTGGACGCGTGACGCATTACAGAAGCTTGTATTAGCTCCTTCTTCTGTGATTGATGAAAAACTTGAGGCTGCCACCTTCGGGGACTACGGTACTTCTGTTGAAGTGGATGAACTAAAGTGGAAATTAAAGTTTGATCGGAAGAAAGTTAAGTTGACCACTCCGTGATCCGCATACTTGGGAAGCAGATTTTTTTTTTTCTATTTTGGGATTGATGATGCTGTTGTTGTTCTTGTTCTTGGTGTTGCTGGTGGTTGGCTTCAAATGACTCGGTGTAAAAAAAAAATAAAAAAGCCACTCTTATGATCTCTCTCTCTCTCTGTTCTGTAGTTATTATTTTTTTTTTGTTTTCGTTCTTCATTTATCGGCTGATCTCACCCTTAAAAAAAAAAATTTATTTCACTCAATTTTAACTTCTCTTCGTTTCTTCATCCTTCCGTATAATTACTATTATTATCACTCTTTTTTCGTTAAAACAACAATAACGAAAAACAAAATACATACACAAACACATAAAGGAATAGAAAGTGAACGAGCGAAGGCAGTCGTTGCAATTGCAAAAACAACCACCACCATTACCACCATTACCATCCCCGAGGAAAGTCACATCGTCACGATGAGCAACGCTGTAGATTCCCTCCTGATCCGCCTGAAGATACCCGGGCTGATCCCGAAGTTCCGCGAGAAGGGTCTGGACCGCATCGTCACCCTCCGCAAGCTCAGCGAGGAGGAACTGCGCAGCATCGTCCCCGATGACGAGCAGCGGCAACTCATCCTCGGCGCCATCAACAACCGCGGCACGCACGACAAGAAACAGACGCAGCCCTCCGGCGCCATGAATCCCCCACGAAACGCGGAGGACGGCGGCCGCGGCACCGGCGGGTTTCCCCGCGGCTCCTCCCGCGGCGGCGGGCGGATGGGCGGCGGTGGCGGCCGAGGCGGACACGAGCGGGGAGGTCCCGCCGCACACGACCGCGGGGGCCCTGTCGGCGGCGGTGCCTTCCCGGTCAGGCAGCGGGCGTGCAATCACTTCTTCGCCGGTGATTGCAAGTACGGCGATAGCTGCCGCTATAGCCATGATCAGGCGGTGTACCAGAGGGAAACTGCGGAGGGTGTGGTGCGACGCCCGCATGATTCACCCGGCAACACAGAGGACTACAGCGAGGTCTGTGTAATTCCCACACACCGTATTAAGTTTTTGCTCGGTAATAAGGCAGAAAGACTTAAGCAGATCCACGATGCAAATAAAACACACAACAAACCATTTAAATACGTTGAATCCACCGTTGAAAAGTTTGAATTGGTGGTATATGGTTCGGATCCTCAATCTGTTCTGCAGTCAAAAAAGATGATTCTTGCATGTGTTGGTGTTACGAAAGAAAAGGAACAGAAGAACCGTTTAATGTACACCATCAACGAACTTGGCAGCAATCAGCATACAGCAAAATTATTAGCTGCTTGTAACATCAAAAATGAGGGAACCATGAGGGAAATTTCAGAAGCATCATTAAGAAATGTTATTTCATTTCTTCGTTTCGAGAAGCAACAAGACGTCCGTCACTTCTGGGTTAATACCACTAACGATCGTCACAAGTTGGAAACCATCGCCACAATAGTTGCTCAGTTAAAGGGCGTGCAAGCTATTATGTTTTGTGATCAGAAGCGTGTAGCAGAAATGAGCAAGGTGCCTTTGAAGATTGCACGTTTCTTCAATGGTGTTAATCCTTTATTTATTCATCGTGATCTTCCAAAGGAAGAGCGTATGAAGCAATTACATGATTTCAAGGTTGGTGAAGTGAATGAGAATGGTATTCGTGAACGTTTGCTCGTTACCAATGAGGATTATGCAAAGTTGGCCCGTAAAACCATCGTCCCTTATGTTAACCTTATCATTAACTTTTCGATGCCAAGAACTGAAGAGTTCTACCTACTACAATCCCTCGTTGCGGGTCGCAATGACACCGTGGGTGTATCCATTCTATGCGTGAGCGCGTACGATCAAAACACATTCCGAGAAATGCAACAAGATATTCCGTTTACGGCGCTGGAGGATGAGAATAGCTTCAGCGAAACAGCGCTGCAGTTGGTATACGATACGGTGGAGAATCCACTTACCTCTGAGGATGCGGACCCGCCAAATGATTGGGCGAGTAAGTTGAACCCAAAGAAGGATGGTGACTCGTAAGCAGAAGAAGTACAACAAAACGTAAGAGCAAGAGCAATAGCAATGTCAAAAATGAAGAAATACAAAATATCACGTATATATGGATTTATATCTATTTTCGTATATTTTTATTTCTTCTTCTTGGTATTTTGTCTTTCGTTTGAGTTTTATTTCTTTTTTCTTCTCGTCATCTTCTCAATCTCTCGTGAACTGTCATTCACATATACATGCATACATGCACACACAGACACACACACTCACATACAAACGTACACAATCTTTACTCTATATCTGTTTAACTACTTCTCTATTATTTCTTTTTTGCAGTAGTAGAGAGTCATTTGGTGCTCCTCCATCCTTCTCTGTTTCTCCGTACCCTGGGTAATATATGTACGTATGTATGTACTTGCGCATTGTGATGAATGTGAAATAGAAAAACTTCTCTTTTGAGAAGCTTGGGTGGAGGGTGTGCGTACAGAGAAAATGAAGGATAGTGGAAGTAGAGGAAGAGAAAAATAAAGAAGAACTGTTTTTTTTCATTATTATTTCGTGGTTTGTGTAATGTGTTGCATGGATCTTAAGGGTGAGATCAACTGAGGGTACTGGAAGAATGGATAGGGGGCGAGGTGGAATATGATAAGAGGTGCATTTTTTTTTTTTTTTTTTTTACTATTACTATTACCACGAATACAACATTTTAAAAAAGGAAGGATAAACACCCCGTAACACGAAAAGGAAAAAAAAAATGAGAAAAAAAAAAGAAAGAAGCAGAGGATGAATATGTGAGAAAGAAGGAAAGAAAAAAAAAAAAGGAAATATGGCTGAGAAAGAAAGGGGTGAACAGTTTGTAAAAGATGGGAGGTGAAGAAGGGTAGTTATGGTACACTGTGGCGACAAGAGCTGCTACGACGACAATACACACACACACACACACGATAACACACATTTAGTGTAATGATATTGCATGCGCCTCTGTGTGTGTGTACATGTGTCTTTGTGCGTCTGTTTATTTACATGAGAAAGAAAGAGAAAAAGAAATCGCGGAGGAATACTGAAAATCAACGACAGAGCGAGCCCCGTAATGAAGGAACAGAGAAGGAAAACAAAGAAAGGAAGTAAATATGGGGCAAAAAGAAAAAGAAAAAAAAAACAAACAAAAACAAACAAACAAAAAAAAAAAAAAAAAAAACAAAACAAAATGTAAATTTTTAGGTCATCTGTATCAGTATTGCTAAAGTGAAGGAAAAGAGTGAAGAAATTTTAATGAAAACACATATTTCTCAGGATACGAGAGAGTAAGGACCATGACGAAGTAATGCGAAAAAGAGAGAATAGAAACGGTGTGGTGTAGGATCAGACAAAGCAAAAAAAAAGGAAAAAAAAGAGAAAAAAACTCCAAAAAAAAGAGTGCGGGATCGAAGAAGGCAAATATAGGTTTATACCCAAAAACAAATCTAACGAAAAACATTTTTTTTTCTTTGCGGTGGTGTTTAATGGGGAACCGAGAGTGCCAAGACGCAGCTAGAGAGACAGGATTGTGAAAAGTTTGAAAAAAAGAAAAAAAAAAGATGCTGCATGAAATAAAATGTGTACTTGAAACATTGATTTCATACTCATTGGCTTATTACGGAACGTGACTCATTTGCTTCTTCATCATTAATTCTTTTTTTTTTTCTTCTTTCATTTTCATTGTGTTTCTTTTCTTTTTTTTTTTCGATTTGCTTATTTCTTTCTTTGTGTTTAAATGTGTTTTGCGGATTATAAGCAATGTTCCCTTTCTCTACGCACCCATCGCCGTTTTTCTGTCCCCCTTTGTTGCAATGTGCCACGTCTGCGAAGAACAGCGACAGGAAGGGCGCAGTGAAAGAAAAATATGTAGAGATGGAGAAATAGAGACGTGAAGCAAATGAAAAAAAGAGAAAAAAGAAATAAAGGAGACAGAGAACGAAGAAAATTTATGAAAAAAAAAAAAAATCGATCAATACAAAAAAAAAAAAGAAAACAGAAATATAAAGACAAGAGAAGGTGAGTCCAAAGTAAATCGAATAGAGAGGGATAAAATGCGAAAGAAACCCTCCCTTCGTTTCTATTTTCATTTTTTTTTTTTAAAAGGAAAAATACGAACAATGAAGCTATAAATGAGGTGATAATCCGCTGCATTTCGTTTCTTATGTGCATCTATATTTTGTTATCCATCTCTCTTTCTATCTATCTATATCTTCCCCCTCCTTTTTCTGGTTTGCTCAAACTGTAAAACCTATAACCCATTTTGTTCTTTTTTTTTTGTTCTCTCTCTATCTATCTATTTCTCTCTGTCTCCCCTCTCTTCTTTTCCATGTTTTTGCCTTTTTGGGCCACATCTGTTTTTTGTTTTTTTTGGATCATGTACTCTCTCTTAATTCCACATATGCACTTGAATTTGTACTTAAACTGTGTCAGTATGCTCTATTTCCCTTTTCGTTTCTTTCTTTCTTGTTTTTGCACACATTTGTTCTGTTATTATTTTTTTTTTTTTTTTGTATTTGGTGCTGGGGGTGTTGTCTTGTGTTGTGTGATAATATTCCATTCTCTAAAGAGGAATAAAAAGAGAGCGAAACAAGGTCCAAGATGGCGAAGGTGACCAAATGTGCTAATGTGGAGCTCCTACTAAAGGAAATTGTGCGCCGTACTATCCAGAAGACGTTTCCAACAGTGAAGACACCAGATGCTCTTATTACTATGGGAAAGGTAACAGACTACCAGTGTAATAATGCTATGGGTCTTGTCAAGTTACTTTCCAAAGCTACACCTCCTATTAAAATGAGCCCAGTACTTGTTGGTGAGGAATTAAAGAAAAATCTTGAGGAAAATGATCTCATTGAATCCTTTGAGCCTACACCTCAGGGATTTATTAATATCACCATTAAAGTGGATTGGGTGGCTGAGACCGTGTCAAACGTACTTAAGGAAGGTATTCAACCACCACAGTTACCTAAACAGCGGGTACTTGTGGATTTTTCTTCTCCTAACATTGCAAAGGAAATGCATGTGGGACATCTCCGATCTACAATTATTGGTGAAGCTATTAGTCGCCTTTTTGAATACTGTCAGTTTGATGTTCATCGCATCAATCACGTGGGTGATTGGGGTACTGCCTTTGGAATGCTTATTTTATACATGAAGCGTCAACACCCAAATTTTCTTACAGATACTCCAGATATAACAGATCTTACAAAGTTCTACCGTGAAGCCAAAAAGTGTTTCGATGATGATCCTGATTTTAAGGAAGAAGCCCGTTTGCAGGTGGTTAAACTCCAATCATTGGAGGAAGAGTCTATTAAGGCTTGGAAGATCATTTGTGATATATCTAGAAAAGAGTTTGATCTTATTTACAACCGTCTTGGAGCTCGTCTTGAAGAACGAGGGGAGAGTTTTTATAATCCACTTATTCCAAAGGTGTTAGGTTTACTGGAGGAATCTGGAAAGCTTGAGGAAAGTGGTGGGGCAAAGCTTGCCATTACAAAGGATAAAAAGCCTATTTCCTCATTGGATGCGAAAGATATGGCAAAACTTATTACACCACACCTTATTACAGTTCAGCGCAACAACAAGACAGAGTTTCATCCTAATTTAATTATGGCAATGAAGGAGGTGGGTATCCTTAAGGGTGAAGAAGGGAATGAAGTTGTGGTATTATCTAAAAAGGAGTCTAAACCATTGGTTGAATTTGATGCTCGTACGGATGTTGATAAACTGGTTATTCAACTTGAATCATTATATAAGAAGCAGTTATCTCCACTATTCCGTGAGGTTTTTGAAGCCGATGGTATTATCACTGGTGATGAAATTATTGTTCCTCGTTTTACATTTCCTCTTATGGTGGTGAAAAGTGATGGAGGTTTTACATATGATACAACTGATATTGCGGCAATGTACCACCGCTTTGTTTTGGAAAAGATGGATCGAGTGGTGTATTGTACAGATGTTGGTCAATTTGAACATTTCAACATGGTTGCTGCTCTGGTGAAAGATATGGGATGGATGGATGGTGCCTCATGGGATCATGCGGGATTTGGTCTTGTTACTGGAACAGATGGTAAAAAGATTAAGACACGCAGTGGTGAGACAGCCAAATTAAAGGATCTCCTTGATGAGGCGGTGGAGCGTTCTCTAGCCATTTTGGAAGAACGTGAAGATGGTGATCGGGCTCAGGGACACAGTAAGGAAGAAATGGAAAATCTGTCTAAGATTATTGGTCTTGGGGCAGTGAAATACTTTGATTTGAAACAGAGCCGTCTGAATGATTATGCATTCAGTTATGACAGTATGCTTGATATGTCTGGTAACACGGCTGTTTTCCTCTTGTACCAATATGCTCGTCTCTGTTCTATTAAACGTAAGGCTGGATTAAGTAACGAGGAGTTTATGAATACCAAGGTGGTTATTGATACACCTCAAGAAAAGAAACTCGCTTTGTGCGCCTTCCGCATGGAGTCTGTGGTACTCCGAACTGTGGATGACCTCTTCCTGCACCACCTCACAGATTATGCATATGAACTGGTGTCGTGCTTCTCCGAATTCTTCCAAAAGTGCAAGGTGGTTGGTGATCCTTTGCAAAACAGCCGACTCTGTTTGGTGGAGCTCACACGTGTGACGTTGAAAAAGGTGCTTGATATTCTGAATATTGATGTGGCTGAGAGGATTTAGAGAGGAGGGGCGTTGTTGCAATCATTTCTCTTTTTTTTTTGAGTAAAATAGATGGAATATATATATATATATATATATATATATGTGAAAAGAAAAAGAGAGATGGAAAGGGGAGAGAGAGAGAAAGAGAGAAACGGTTCTGCAGAAAAGTAAAGTACTACTAGCAGAAGAAGAGCTAAAATTGCATCATTCTTTTCTCCTTACTTGTGAAAGAAAAAAAAACAAAAAAAAAAAAAAACAAATTGCTAAATGAATTAAATAACGAGGATGTAAATCCAAGGTAATTAAACGTTTTCATGTTCAAAATAACGTTACATATTTCCTTTTTTTATTTTTGTGTGATCAGTTCATCTTTTTTTTTTCTTTCTTTTCTTTCCTATTTTGTTCCTTTGTGTGTGTATGTATATTTATCTTGCTGTATTTGACGAAAATTTTTGTTTTGTTTTCGTTTTTTTCTTTTCTTTTTTACTTTCATGAGGCGTAACATGACGCAGAATTGGTTTAGGCCTCACCCGTTTGGTGTATATCCACGGGGAAATGCAAGGGACCCTTTGGATTTAACTATACCAAGATTTGGGACCCTTTCTTCTTTACAGGGTGCAGCCAAAGGTCAAATTGTAAAGTCTGGTATTTCTGGATGTGAACCCACAGAGGAGGCTTTTCTTGATCTGATTCTTCACTTGCTCTCTTTCTGCTCAGTGGATGATATATGCCGAATCTCAGGAAGCTGCACAGGATGGTATTGCCTTATTCATGCCTCAGATGCCTTTAAACAGGCATATGGATTAATATCCCCAAATTACTTGCGATTTCGTAGAAGTTGGAAGGACTCTGCTATTCAATGCTTTCTTTCTTTAAAAGATAAAACATCCTCTGATGATAAAAATTGTTTATTGACAAGAAAGAATTCCTCTGCTTTCTGTACTGATAATAATAATGATGATGATGATGATAATAAAATGACTAAAATTTTTATACATCGTCCATTTGCAGTGAAACGAGTTTTTTTTAATGATCAATTGTTTCAAGCTTGGTTATGCACAATTCTTCCTTGTCATTATCATCTTCGACCAGCTATTAAAACTACTGTTCATGAAGAAGATGCAGCATGGCCAAACGGAGCTAACCCCATTCAAGAAGCACCTCGTTTTCGTACTGCACTTAAGGAAGTACCACGGTGTAGTGGATTGACACCAAATGAATTTCGTAAGCGCTTTGAAGAACCAAATTTACCAGTTATTCTTACTGATGTAGCTGTTAATTGGCCTATGTTTCGTATTCTTGAAGGGAATTTTAAAAATCTTGCTACAAAGGCTAAAGAATTATTTCGTTCAAATGCTTCTCTAGATGTACCTATGCGGTGTGAACATACCACAATGACAGTTTCTGATTATGTTCGGTATGCTGTAGAGCAATCGGATGAACGTCCTATTTATATGTTTGATGCTGAATTCGGTACTTCTATGGCAGCAGATTCGCTTTATACAGTTCCCGAACACTTTGGACGAGATGATTTCTTTAAAGTTTTGGGTAAAGAACGTCCAAAGTATCGTTGGATTATTGCAGGTCCAAAACGTGGTGGAAGTAGTTTTCACGTGGATCCTAATTACACCAATGCATGGAATGCTAACTTAACTGGTAGGAAGCGATGGATTTTGTTTCCTCCTGGTTGTACTCCTGCTGGCGTTTTTCCTAGTGAAGATATGTCTGAAGTCACAACACCGGTTTCACTTACGGAGTGGTTATTAAACCATTATGATGCAACTGTGGAAAAGTGGAAAGGTGTTGGTTATGAATGCATCTGTGAACCTGGTGATATTATGTTTATTCCTTGTGGTTGGTGGCATTTTGTAATTAATTTGGAGGATTCTGTGGCGATTACACAAAATTACGTTTCTGAGTGTAACTTACCAAGTGTCATGAAATTTCTTTCTGCCATGAAATCATCTATTAGTGGTATTGATGAGGATGCGGATAACACTGTAGGGGCAATGGTTGAAAAGCGACGGGCCAACTTTGCAGATGAGTTTGCAGCAGCTATGCATTCATCCTTCCCAGACCTTATGAAGCGAGTGGAGACTGATCTTGAAAAAGAAGCGCAACTTCGACGAGAGAGAAAGAGAACTCATGTAACTGCATTACCTTTACTAGATGCAGAAGCAGATGGGTTTACATTTAATTTTTGAATAGCTAATTGAAGAAGAAACAAACAACAACAACAATAACAAAAAAAAAAAAAAACGATAACGATAACAAAAAAGAAAAAAAAAAAACATTTTGCAGTTTTGCACCCCCCAGTTCTCTTAGAGAGAACTTGGAATTGTTAATGGAGTTAAAAATTCCCTTGTATTCCTCTAAAATCTTATTCTATTATGATTATGGTTATTATTATTATTTTTTTCTTTCTATTTTTTTTTTTATTTTATTTATGTTTATGATTACATATAATAATGTTTGATATTAGTATAGGACACGGTGTTTTCTTACGATAATGGGTATTCTTACTAATTTGTATGAAACATTAGCCACCCAGGGTCGCCTGGAATTATTGCTTACTCTTGGTATGTATGATGAACGAGTTTATGAAGTTGTTGAACGGCATCATCTAACAGATAAGATTATAGACATGTTACCATCACCACAAGCGGCGATGTTTCTCTCACGTGGTATGGCATATGATTGTATTAATGAGGAAGTTATTCGAAATTTTATTAAAATTTGTATGATGTTATCACGATATAAAACAGTTGAAGAAGGTGCAAGTCTTGCAGAACTTATTGGAAATTGTGGAGTTCCAGAACAATATCGTATGAATATGTTTAACTTTAGTGAGACATACCGTCATATGATATTGTCAAAATCATACTTTCCACAACGATCAGTGTTAAAACTTTTAGCATACATTTTTTGTGATGATATTTTAACTGATGCAGTGGCTCAACTTCAATACAAATCCGATATTTTGAATCACGTAAATAAGGTATTTGTTGATACTCCAGATTTTGTTTCATGGCGTTTTTCTGTACGAGTTATGTCTCTAGCTGGTGGATTTAATGAAGATCGTAGTGATGTAGAATATACAGAAGCTCTTACTCGTCTGGTAACACGCACTATTCCAGAGTTTTTTCTATACTTTACTGTTACCTTTGTATACGCCATGTTTCGTCATTACCCACGACGTGTGCGTGGTATTATTCCACGTTGGTTGGCACGTCAACGAGCTCTTTTCTCTGGTGTGTACTGTGGTTTGTTGGGAATTTATGTGAATTCAATTCTGGAGTATCGTGTTCATCGTCACCGCATGTTGTATGAAGTACGAAAGAGTCAAGAGTTCCGTCGTCGCCGCGGGGCAAAGAGACGTGGAACGGAATATATACAAAATACATACTTTGATAACCTTGAGGGAGTTACGCGTCGTATTCACTCTATGCAGTGTACGGCTTATACAATAACGGGAGGGGCATTGTTGCTTTCACTATTGCCTCTCACACCAATAAAGTTTCCCAAATGGATGGGAGATGTGGCGTGGCGACATCCATTCGTTCCCCGTCTTTTTCCAACAGTTTTGGGAATGCACTCGGCATCACGGTGTTTAGTACCATTTGTGTTTGCGCCCTTTACGATACTCACAGCGGCACGATTTAATGGCGCAGGAGCCACACTGTACGATCGCTACGTGGAGTTTAGAATGCGATTATGGTATCGTAAGGTTGAAGTGGCGTTTGACACATCAACAAATGTTGCTGAGGTTGATATCACGAAGGAACAGCAACGAAAAACGATTTAGGGGGTTTCTGTGTGTCTGTCTATCTGTGTGTGTGTGTATTTGTGGTGTTTTTTTTTGTGTTGGAGATAATGTCGCAACCTGAAAGAAAGAAAAGAAATGTGCAAAACAGGAGAAAAAGAAAAGAAAAAAGGAGACGTAATACGAAATGCATGAAAAAAGAATCATGCAATCTTAGATTCTTTCTTTCATTTTCGCACATTTCATAGACACAGGATTAAATGTGTCTTTGTGGTTTATACTAGTTTGTATGAATCCCATTATTATTATTATTACTTTGCATACTGTATACTTTGATGTTTGTATAATGTTTTTTTGTGTTTTATTCTTTTTTTTTTTGTATTTATTTCTCTATTGTTATTCTAAAAAAAAAAAAAAAGGGTATTGGAGTAGCAAATGATTACTGATCGCTTTCCCTTAAGGGTAAAGCTAGGTGGACCTGTTTTAGATGTGATGAACCTATTTCAAATAAGGGAAGACCTTACTGAAGCACAAGCCACCGTTTCGAATTCAAGAAATGCTCTCGCCAAGACAAGAATTACACCCTCAAGAAAGGGAGAAGTATCGCAACATAGAGACGAAGAGGAGGCTCTTAAATATGCCGCCAAGAAAAGAGAATATTTAAACAACTATTATCTTAGTGAAAGTATTTTTTCAGAGTTTCAACGAATATTAGTCGATATCGCAGAGGAAGAACGAGGAGCACGTCAACGGTTAGATGTGTTTCATAAAGATATCAAGAGTAGGGCTGTTAATGCTCGACGAGCAGAGTATTTTATGAGTACTAAGTGTGTAGTTGAACGTTTCGAAATGGAAGAACGTGCATATGAAGACAAGGTACGTATGATGCAGGAACATGCGGATTATTTGCTTTCTTTGAAAATAGTAGAAGAGGAACAACGACAGGTAGCCATACGTCGAGCACAGACTAGACGAATGCAATGTTTGCAACAGTCAACTGGTGTCTCAGTACCCTATGGAGTACCGGGAACTAACAATATGTATTATTCTCCATCCCCTGCTTATGGTTATGGTAGACCACCACCACCACCGCAACAACCACAACTACTACAATCACAACAGTATGCTAATAATCCAATTCCGATGCAAACTCGCCCTTATGAGTTGCCACCAGCTTTTCTGGAAATGCAAGAACGACGTAAAATGGGTATACAACAGCAACAACAACAACAACCACAGACTGGATTTTACGCGTCATCATCTCCAGTGCCTTATGTCCCCATGAATTATGGTCCATCAGTACCTTTGCAACCACAGTTTCCACAGCCGCAACAACAGCAACAACAACAACAACCATACTGGGCAAACTATCCTCCTGGTCAACCGGGAAGGTATGGATATCAGGGGCTTTGAGGAAGTGAAAATATCTCTAGCTCTATTGCGTACATTTGTAATGTCAGAAATTGCATATGGGTTTTTTTTTTTTTTAAATTAATACCCAAGAAAACATTTTCGTTGTGCGTTACTTTTTTTATTATTTATTTTCTTTAACCAGAGAATTTAGTCACACACTGGTTTCCTCCCTCCGTTTTTAGCTTCATTGGACTCATATTGAATGTCCTATTTTTTTTTTTCTTTGGCTTCTTGTATGCATGCACCATTTGCACAAATGGTAGTCAGGTCGCCTATATAATGAGAAGTGCACCTCAATTTCTCTATTACATTGGTTGCACGGCTTTTTAGTTTTCTTTGTTAAGAGGCAAAACAAAAAAGCAAAGAAATCATAAAGTATAGGGATAAACCAAGGGGCTATAGTGGTATTTATTATTAAAACAAATCAAAGCCTAAAGAAAATTATCAGTACAAAGGGGAAAAAAAAAAAAAACGTTTTCCTCATATGGCGTCTTTTTTAGTTCCTTTTACGTTGCAGGTAAAACCCTCAGAGTGGTGCGAATCCCTGCATGCAGAGATCGGGCCCATTCTCTCTTTATTAACTCGTAAAGAAAATGTTTCTGACGCAAAATCACCTGTTTCACTTTTTCCAGAGATGAGTAGTGATATGGTTAAGCGTTTGCTTGCTCCTGTTGATTTGCCCCCATTTGATGGTAATCCAGTTCTTGATAGAGCTAATGCAATGGATTTTGTAGTTGCCTCTCGAAGTTTTTCACGACATGAACAATTGTATGTGCGTCTAGTTTTTCAGGAGTATTGTCAGCGGAAAAACATAGAAAAAGAAAGAGAATCAGTCTTGGAAAATTTCAGGAATTCGTTAAACCAGATCAAAAATTTAGAACTACCACCTGAGGTCCGTTCAATGATTACTACTTTGGAGACGGAGGAGTCAAAGGAACGGGAAGAAGTACATATATCGTATGATCGATTTGTAGCATGGGTTAACACAACCACCTCATTATGGGTGGAAGAAGTACACCGTTTGGAATTAGAGCGAGAAGCAAAAGCTGCCGCTATTGATGCAGCAAAGCGTGCATTAGAAAATGAATTTGCACGGCAGAGTGCTGGTAACTCAAGTGGTGAGTATTCTATGGCTAATGAAGATATCCTACGACAACAAGCCATTGCCTTGATTGAGCAAGAACAACAAAATCAGTTAAAAGCAAAGGAAGAACAGGTGAAGCATTTACGGCAACAGGAAGAACAACTACGACAACAAATTGAAGACAACAGACGACGTCGTGAGGAGGAGAAGGAAAAAGAACGTGATATGGAGTTAGAATCACGATACATGAATCTTATGCAGGAGGAAAGTTCAATACGGCAGCGTATGTCGCAGCGTGAAGAGGAGTGGGCACAACGTGAGAAGGATCGTTGTTTATTATTGGAACACATTGAGGCAGAGGAGCAATTACTGCGTCAACGACTACAAGAGCGTGAAATTGAGCGGAAGAAGGCAGAAGAGGAGAAGAGAACTATGGAATATGAGCAACGTGAGCAACTCTTTGAACATGTGGAGGCTGAAGAAGAATTGTTGCGTCAACGTCTGCAGCGTTATGATGAGACGCGATTGGCAGAAGCTGAAGCGGCGAAAAAAAAAGAGGAAGAAGAACGTGAGCAATTGTATGAACATGTTCGTGCTGAAGAAGAAATTATTCGTGAACGTCTTGAGAAACGAAAAAAAGAGGAAGCGGAGAAGAAAGCCAAAGAAGAGCAGGAGGAGCAGAATCGACGTAAGAATAAGTTGATGGAAGAGCTTATGGCAGAGACCTCAGCGTTAGAGGAGAGAGTACGTCACCGTGAAGAGATGCAACGTAAAAACATGGAATTTGAGGAGGTGAAAATGGAAGAACAGTTGCGTCTCTTGCGAGAATTAGAGGATAAACAACAACGACTTCTCTCTCTTCAGCAGCAACAAAAGCAGCAACATCAACAACAACATCCAAAATCACAACTTCAACAAGATGATCGACGACAACAGTATCAACAACAACAAGCTTTACAGCAACCTCAGGGAGTACCTCCCTCAATATCAGATTACTACTATGACCCTGTCACAATGACTCCACATTCTTCCTCAGGTTTGTGGATGGGTAACAACAATGGTTCATCTCATCAACTTTCCCCAGTTTATCAGTTTCATCATCATCAGCATCAACAACATCAACAACAACAACAACCGTACCATCAGTTACAACAACAACAACAACCGTATCATCAGTTACAACAGCAACAACAACCGTATCATCAGCTACAACAGCAACAACAACAACAACCGTATCATCAGCTACACCAGCAACAACAACAACAATCGTACTATCAGCTGCAACCACAACAACTGCAACAAGGAGCTGGAGTATCTCATTTTCCTTTTCAATCCTATTGATAAACTCTGTAGTCTACATACTTGCTGTAAAAGAAAGAAAAAAAGAAAACTTTATAATAGATAAAGCGATTAGTAATAATATATATGTGTGTGGTATACACGTAAAACTGTTTTTTTTTTTTTTTCGTTGTACGGCTTGAAGTTTTTTTTCTTTTCTCTCTTTTTTTTTTGCTTTTATAATAGTTTATGGGTTTATTTTCTAAGTTTTTGTATATTCAACTCACAAACATTGACAACATCCAATAGTCGGGTTTTTTTTTCTTTTTTTGCAGAAAAGTTTCTAAACGTTTGGCTCTTTTAATATTGCGTTGTAGTGAAAAAATCCAGCTCAATTAAAGGAATCGATAGTTTGTGTAGGGGTATATATTTTGTATATATATTTTTGTAATGAGATGCGACGTATACATCGAGAAAAGTTATGTAATGCTTCGAGGTTTGCCTTCCTGCTGGTTTTGTTGTGGGTGGTCCTCGTATTAGTGACGCTCTTTCTTGGTTGGTCGCACCATGCGTCCCGTATGGCCATCGATGGGGGAGCGGCGGCTCCTGCGGGTGTGGGCGGCGGGTCCCACGACTGCGCAGCGGCGTCCACCGGCCTTTTCACTCCCGTTGGGATTCCGCGTGTGTGCCGGATGGAGGAGCCGGGGGTGATGGTGGACCTCACGGTGCCGCGGGAGTACAACCGCAGTCAATGCCCTGTTGAACCGGCAGAGCGGGATGATCCGAGGCTGCTGAAGTTCCTCGAGTTCTTTACTAGGATCTTCAAGGAAAAGTTTAATAATTTACCATGGTGGATGGATGAGGGGAGTCTTATCGGGGTATCGCGGGCAGGGTCTATTAGAAATGCGGATGACGATTTTGATTTTTTCGTTTTACTTCCAAATAGTACATCACCATGTAGACCAAATTCACTGGAATGTACTCGAGAGGAGTTTAATACTATGATACATCGGTTTCTTATGCCATTTTGGGAAGCTGGAGCTTGTATTCACTGGTATAATCCAGATATTACAAAATTTGATGCGGATCTTCGTTTGATTTATGCTTTTCAACTTCATCGACATGATAATTCGCCAGACCGATTGGATTGCTTTGATACTAATGCACCCGTAGCGCATATGCATCTTGGTATGCTAAATGCAAATGGTGAGCTTGAAACAAATAAATGGGTTGGGCCACGATCTCATCCAAAGGATAAATTACCGTTATCTATATTGCTTCCTGTGTGCCGCTGTCGTATGGGACTTAAAGATGCTCCTTGTCCAAATGACATTATTGGATTCTTAACTCTACGGAATCGCGGAGAATATGTTCGTCGTTCAAGGGAAGGAAAATGCTTGCTGGTTAAAAAACAATGGTCACTAGAAAAAAAAATGAATCAAGTTCAAAAGGTCAAACTGCTTCATGATTGTGGATACGCGAGTATGATCCAATTAGCAGACTCGTTTGTTGAAAGTGGTTACAGAACTTGTTGATGTTTTTTTCTTGTCTGGGCTCCTCCTCCCCCCCCCTCCCCCCC